CCTGGCTGACCCCGCGCTCCCTCGCTGACCTTTGTCCTGCCCTCAGGCGAAGCCCGACTTCCTGGCCTGTAGCGGCCGAGCGGAAAACCGAGCTCGCGGGGCGCGACTCCATTGGCCCAATCTTATAAATGGAATGCTGTCGTATTCACGGCATTAGATAATATTAATAGTGATACCAGCAGTGGATGTGGTAAAATACAGTCCAAAATAAACGAAAGCACACGATTCGTGCATAATGCGCCCTCCCATTCAAATAAGCCCGCCCACTTCGATAGATGGTGTATTTTCTTAGGGCGTAAAAGATGCAAAACTCTACCGATTTTTTTTTTTAGCTCGGCCACTGGGACCGACAATATACAATTGACTGAAATGCATGAAAACCATTTTGCATTTAGGTAATAGCCGTTTTCTGCACCCAAACTTTAGCCAATGACGCCCTGTCCATTCTAAAGCGTTTATAAGATTGGTCCCAGCACCCGATTTTATATGAGGAAGTCGTTTAAAAAGCATCTTATTTCTAACGAATTTATTATTATGGCCACTTTTACAGGACGTCTATAGAGCTTTGACTTTTACATTTCTTCCTCGTTCAGGAGAAACGTTTTAACCCTCACCGGACCTTCAGGTTTTCTGAATACCGAGGGGACGTTGGGGGTTGGAAGTGAGGAAACAACCCCCTTCGCCGATTCGCCCCTAATTGAGCTAGAGCCTCACGAAAGAAACGATCGTGTGCGTCGTTACGAAATGCAGCGATTGGTCTCCGATTTAAGGACCAGGGTCAGCCGATGACTTCGGAGGTCAGGTCAAGTGGCCCAAGGCACAGGCTCGGTTTTTGGTAAATAACTTCGCTAAAAATGATCGCAGATCCGCGATTTTAGCAGCATCGTGTTTGTCTAGCTCAGGCGTGTCGAATGGTATACTTTTTCTTCGGGTGAGAAAGTAATCTTGGGTGAGTTCAACTTAACCCTCGCCCGTATAGAGGGGGGGGGGGGGGTCGAACGGACCCCCTCCCTCGTTTTTTTTGCGAATAACTCGCGTAAAAAACGGCCGATCGCGACGAAACTTTCAGTACCCTCGCGTTAATCAATTTTACACCCACCCTGAAATTGTCATGACCCTGACCTTAATGACCTTTGACTTGCGACCTACTTTTCGAGACCATGTTTGGCCGGAATCGCGATTCGGCGTATGTCGGCTCGCATTAGCGGCGCGTTTGCAGTCTTTTCGTGGCTTTAAGCGTTCAAACATGGGATATGATGTTGCTTCCATGCATTAGGGTGGGTGTCAAGGTCACCGGAAAGTCAGGTCAGGTCATTGACCTTTGATGACCTCGGTTCACTTTTTCGAGTTTTACATGTTTCTAGGCCAGTTTTAGGGGCTGTATTCGAATTTAGCAGCCATATGAACATTTACGAAGTAGTTTTGGTGCCCTCGTAACATGTTGCGAAGCTGTCAGAGGCGGTTGCCACCTACTACGAATACCCTTACTGGTTGACCAGACCTGACCTGACCCGACCTGGCCTAAATGCATGAAGACATCATCTGGGGATCAAAACTAACATGATATTCGTGATCAGTACCCCGAAAATCCCATAGCAGCCACGCTTTACGACTTTCTAACAGGTCCCGATTTTCCCGACTTTTGGGTCATTGACCTGACCTGGAAAGTCAACCGATGACCTAGGACCTTAAAATTGGGTATCATCGACTTCCTCTCGTCACGGCCAACACGCTCGTTTTTTCCGCGAAGCTCTAGCTCGATCAGGGGCGAAACGGCAAGGGTGGTCCAAAGGACCCCCCCCCCCTTATACGTTTGCGGCTGGAAAAACACCAATACGGGCGAGAGTTAAGGTGTTAACCTCGGGTCAAGGTCAGGTCACAGCCCGTCAGGTCACGAAGCTGGTCAAAGGAGGTCATATTGCATATCAATCGATTCGGCAGGTCTTTTCATGTCCATTAGTGGCTTTATCGACTCGGTAGCTTTAGTTGATCGGGAGTTATTGACGAAAAACTGATAGCCTTAGTTACGTGATAAATGACGTCACGCAAGATCAACAAAGCAAAATTGAAGCATCAGACCTTGCAAGGAGCGCATGAAATCACGATTCCGTGCGCTTGAGAATTTGAAATAGTTGTATATCATTTCCGGACCAAACTAGCAATTTCCATATTCCCCTGACTTTTAATGGTGAGAGACTGACCTGATCTCAGGCGACCCTTCAGAAAATCCGAGATATACATTTATACAAGCTGTGAGACCTCTCGATCATACTATAAGATCCTGTAAGTTTCATCTCCCTATGAAAGCTCTGCACTGAGGGTGTTGCGAAGTTGGAACATTTTAGGACTGTGCACACAGTCCTTAAATGTTGAGGGCAGTTTAGGATAGTTCCACACAGTTCATTTTAGGACTGCTCATTTATGACGTCATAGATCAGTGACCTGACTTGACTTAAAAATGCGGTTGGCGTAAAAAAATCCGACTTATCAAATCCCGACTAAAAAAAAACGACTTATAATCCGGTTAATCAAATCCCGATCATGTTTTTACATGGCCATTAATGTTCTAGCCTTACAGGTGATTGTTTGAACGCGGAAGATGCTGAATCTTGGTTAACCCCATACTTATCGTATGATAAAGAACGTCAGTGTTAGAAAGTTAATTAACAATTTTATTTAGGATAGTTTAATTCAAGTGGGTATAATCCGACTTGACAATTTACTAGGAGGGTTTTGCAGCGCTATTAGTTCGGCATTTAATTATAAATCATTGCTAATTTCGATCCGGATATCGTTATTCAATGCTGGCCTTTGCGTCCTCAGAAAGTTGTTTATAGTCATGAAGGCTTGCATTGACCCATACTTTCCATTTTTCAGCACTATTATTCGCCGTAGTTGACCAGGTGTTTTTCTTCAGCTCTCCCCTGAATCCTTTGGCTTAGACCTGGCGTATCACCCGTGCATCGCAAGACACACAAGTTCATGATCCCCACGAACCCACATCAGCGTCCGTTCGCTTGGTGTGTGACCCCTTGACCTTTGGCCGCGACAACTGCCTGCTTGCTGGAGCACCCCTCCCTACACGCGCTGCCCCGCCCGCTCCCCTCCCTCCCCCCCCCCCCGGGGTCGTGTCACGAAGGTTCGGGCTTACGCTACTACCGGCCGCTGCGCAGCTGTCACCTAGCGCTTGGGAATGTGTGGTCTGGTGCGGATTCAGCCAACTACCGGCTCGCGACACCAGCGCCACGTAGTGGCGACGGTACATTCTTTTTAGACACACTGTACGCCACGAGGACTTTTTCACCCCAACACTGGATCAGAGAACAAGAGGACATCCATGGAAGTTTAGGAAGGACCAAGCACAAGTGAGGGCCAGGAGACACTGCTTCAGCACGAGAGTGATTAGCGACTGGAACTCGCTTCCCTCGGAGGTCGTCCTAGCTCCTTCCCTGGGCCTGTTCAAGGCGCGCCTGGATGCCCACTGGCATGGCATCCGCCACCAAATTCCTGATTGATCTAAGCAATGCTCGATGAGAACGGGACCATCAGGCCAAGTGGCCTACCAAAATTCTCGAATACGTTATGGTATGGTATGGTATGGTATGGTAAAAACCTATCTTTGCTGAGGGCACTTCCGTTACTTAACCCGCGAGTTGCTGGGGGGGGGTTAAGCGCCCCCACTTTTTTCGCCGGGCCATAGCATAAAAACGGCGCGCCGCAGGCGCGCCAAATTTTGGGTAGGTACCTGTAAAGAATTGATTTGAGTTTATTGTGAAAAAGCTTCAAAAAAATCGGTCGGAAAATTTTTGAGATATCGAGGTTTTAGTGACGTCATGATTTCTGAGTTTTCGACCAAAAACGGCATATGTTAAAAAAAATCATATAAAATCACAAAATAGACATACAGACATGCCGTAAACGCCATTAGACTGCCAATACCTTTAACAATCAAATGGCTATCTTCGATTATTGATTATCGTTCCGCATTTTCCAAAATCTTGAACTGAACCTTGGCAATTTCTCGTGACTACTTCACGACCATGATGCATGCATTTCTTAAATTGAACTTTTTGAGCCAAACACGTACACACATGACAAAATGAATGTCACCATCGTTTTCTACGCCCCAAATTACCCATAAAACATGTGTCACAGGCTGCGAACATCAGTTTTGATTTTCGGGGACATGTGCCTACCCGGTTGACCTGACCTTGACCCTGACCTATGCTTGACTGACCCCTACATGGAGCTGACACTCTTGTAGACCTTAAATGATGGATTGTGCACCGTTTTGACAGAGTTTATGACGAGAGGCGCCCATTGCGAAGTCCTGAAGTCCATGCTACTGAAAGCCCGATTTCAGGTGTTTGAGCTGACCTTGACCCGACCTGTGACCTCAAAATTCAACTTTAAAGTACTCATCTGAAGCGTCTCGTCGCGTTCTTTCGTTTGCCGCCTCGTGCGTTTCGCTGCGTCTATTCGTTCTCGAGTTATCGGCTTGGGGCGTGTTTAACGCCCCCCCCCCCCCCCAGCAAACGGTAGGTGGCGAAATACCACAGCAACTGCCGGGTTAATAGTCAACCCTAGTAGAACGCGGTGACGGGATTTCAAGTCCAAGACCGAGGTCCCTGTTTAAACATTTCGCCCGAAACCGAAGGCTGAGCAGTGGCGTAATCAAGGGGGAGGGCACGGGGGCCATGGCCCCCCTAATGGCAAAAAAACAGCTGCGCCACCCCCCAAAAATGGGCCAAATCCGAGGAGTTTTCCATTTTTGGGGGTGGTACGACACTAGGCCGCGACTTGTGCCCCCCCCCCTGAGCAAAATTCTGGCTACGTGCCTGAGGCTGAGGGGCAGCTTAATCACTTTTCGACAGAAAGTGGAGCGTTGTTGTGTCACAAAATTAGTTAAAATTGACATTTGTTCGATTAACAATCGTCAAGCAAATGTGATAAACGTCCCAACCCTTTCAGTCAATGCTGGTCAAACGCAAAAAAGCATCTGAGTAATTACAATGCTAGGAATCTATTTGAACCACCACTTGCATATGGAATCCATGAAGGACGGTACAAATATCCTTGGAAAACGGGTCGCTCCCCAATGAAGCCGTCCGAATGTAACACCGCAGCCACTGCTTCATCTGTTACAGAGCCAGTGTCCTAAAGCTCTATTTTGCAAGCAAAAGTGAGAGAGTTAGAGCAATAGTCCTCAACCCATGCGCCGGAGTATCCCGAGTCCATATGCACGCAGTTTTTCGCTGTGTTGTCGACGCGTTCCGCCCACACCTGAAAAAAGGAAGAGTGTTGATGTTTTCGATTCCAGTACCTACCTAGGTGCCTAAATAATAAGGTACCAGTTCAGGTTATGATTTAAAGAAGATGTCTTTCAGTTGGAATGTTTAAAATTCAGTTCAGTTTAGCTTAAAAAGATCCGCCCAAAACGAGGCTTTCACTTCTCACGTCTAAAGACTAGAGGCCGGGAAGCGCTAAAACCCACAAAAGTGTTTTGATTGCTGCACTTATCTACCTTCGAATGGTATGTCTTCGAAATATGTGTTCATAGATAGACATCACTGGATTTGTGGCTTTTATTTTTTTTTTCGCTGAAACTCCGACATTGAAAACTGTGGTTGCTCATTACGTCGCCCATCTACTCATGGTCAGTCACTGAAACCCGACATATGTAGACTTTGACCTGACTTATATAAAGCCTCTAACATGACATAAAGCCTTTGACCAGATATATCCCGCGACCGCGTAAAAGGGTCGGACCCGAACCCCCCTCCGTTTTTCTTGAATAACTCATGAACCGTTAAAGATATTAGCTTGAAACTCCTTATACATTCTCTCTAATCAATTTTACGCATTTTGTAATTTTTGCATTAAAAAATATATTTGATATAGCCATTTTACTGACGTAACTAAATGACATTTTTCGTAAAAAATGGTAAATGTTAGAAAAAAAAATTCCAAAAATCGAGGGTTGAAGCAAAACGAAAATAAAAACAAAACAAAACATGCAGTTTTGAAAGGTCTTTAAAATGAATATCTCAGACATTTCATAAATTGTGTTTTTGGCCCCTAAAATTTCAAAAAACTTTAATTTTTTAACAATTGATCATAACTTCAAAATTTTAAAAGCTTTAAAAAAAAACGGAATATATGTTGAAGAGATCCATAAGTACATCATGGCCGTTTTCACGACGGAATAGCAGGCATCTATTTGATACCTGTTTGATCCTTTGGTTCCTCAGGAATTTTAGTAGTTCTTTCCCAGCTTTCGAATGAATGGTGCGTTAGTTTGCTATTTTTCTATTAAATATCACATTGATTTACTTTATCTAAGGATTTATCACTAATATCAACATAAAGCGTAAGGACAAGTATAAAAATATGAAATTATTAAATACTAGTACAAAAAATACTGAGTTGCCACGCTACAAAGAATATATTCATTTATGGCGCACGACAGACATTTAGAAAGCAGCGCCCTGTTTTATTGCACGCTGCTAGCCGCTTCCATTGGGTTTTGCAGGCCGACGTCATTGGTTGTTACACGTATGATGTCACGCGACTTGTGGCCTATCACGGATCTTGATCTCCATTAAATGAATGCAACAAACAATGGCCTTTTAAGTTGATCTCTGTGGCCATCTGTCTATGGAGCAACCAATATGAAAGTTGGGTGAATTTACCGGGGTTACATGACTATGAGCAAGCAAATGTGTATCAGGAATGGGTTTAGCTGGAGAATTGCGCTGGACCATGAGTGCTCGAGCACTCCCAATTCCACGCCGGTTTGGCTTTGGAGCCGAGACAGACGATGCGGGTCAAGGTCACCGCTGGGGTAACGTTGGATTGGCTGCGCCCGAGCACCCATAACGCGGCATAATTCTGCATCTATGGATTTTCCTATTCGCTCAGCATTGTGATAGGCGTTCGTAATAGCATTTACTCTGCTCATGTATCTATATGTATGTATCTGCTCATACATACCTATCCCCGGTTATTTAAAAGAAGTTTTTGTGGGGGAATATCACGGCTATAGGTACTCAGTGGCCCTATTCACGACTTTCAAAGAATGCTTCGATAACTAAATACCGCACAGACGTACTGCATTAGTGAATATGACAAAAGGTCTGTGGAATTACACCCCCCCCCCCTCACCACACCCCTAAAAACTCATCCAGTGTCCAAAACCACTTTTATCGACTCGCCAAAAAAAAAAAAAAACACACACACACACACACACACAAAGCATGGGGCATGTCAGCTCTCAGTTCATTTATCATTGTCTTTACCATGGTTCAATTGCATTGCGCGATTCAAAGCACGTGAGTGCCTATGAAAATAATACCTACAGCAAAACATCCAAAATTACAAAGGCTACAATGCTTAAAAAGTAGGTTCATCAAGGAAGCCCACTTTAGCTTGCGTGGTGTTGCCAACCATGCGATTCAAACGTGGGCTATTCACAACGTCTGCAAAGGCACGTTGACAACTGACAAGCCGCCACCGCTGCCACTTATTCATAGATGGTTGATATCGCAGCTTGGGCGTCAGCAGCGCGGCTCACAACGCGTCGGCGCCAGCGCACGCAGCTGTTGGCACTCGGCAGCCGGTGTTGCCACTACCCGTCCCTCGCCCGCACATGCCATTTTCCCATCCTAGAACGCACATGGGGGGGGGGGGGGTTGCCACCCCCCCCCCGCGCCATTTCGTTCCTGTTGGAGATAGAGCTTAGCAGAGACCAAAAAGATTCTTTGGGAAGAGACGAATCCAATGATACCCAGTTTTACCTTCTCAGGTCAGTCATTGACCTTCCAGGTCAGGTCAAACTAAAAAATGTTGCTGTTTTGGGTCACCGTTGGATATCAAGTGCGCTGCTTATCAAATACCGATGACGATGCTGTTTTCCGGTGCCAAACCAGCTAGAACCTCTTTGTCACACTATCCGACCAGAATTTTGCTGCTGAGGTCATCTCAGGTCAAGTTAGGTCAAGGTCAATTATATGTGTTTGTATGTCTGTGTGTGTCTGTGTGTATACTGATGTGTGTACCGATTGTTTTTGGGTCCATATCACATGAAATCATGATCTGAGAAGCTTTTACAAAAAATGCAGTCAAAAAACTTCACAAAAAGTAAATTCAGCTTGCCTAAAACGCAATTATCTTAGATGACCTAGGTTGACCTTGACCCTGACCTTGACCCCTGTACATCGTCGAACAACATGTTCCATGATAGGTGGGAGGTAAGACTGGCAAAAAAGGCCGAAATCAGGGTGTCAAAAGCTCACAAGGCCCATGGCAAACGCAAGATGTTGAGAATTGGCCATTTGGGTCATGACATGACCTGAAAAACAAGGTCATATCTCCGAAACCAAAAATCACAGACTCTTGAAATTTTCAGTGGACATCAAGAAAGGATAGACGAGCAGCTATACGAAAAATCAGCCTTCTAGCTCCAAAAATGTTGAGTGCAGAGCAGAAAGACTGCCTGGGGGGGGTGGTAACCACCCCCCCCCCCATGTGCGGGCGAGGGTTAACGGCCGGCCGGCCCCATGAAGGAGAAGCTCTTGGTGAAGCTTTGTGATCGCCTCATAGCCGCCTTGGATGTCATCTTTCTTGGCAGATCCATCCATTCAGATGGTACGGTGCAGTCTGGATAAAGGACGAAGTCCAACGCCACTAACCCCGCGACCGCCACCCCAGAACGTGGCCGCAGACCGAACGGGCGTGAGGGAAGTAAGGGCCACCCCGCCATCCGGTGGGTGGCTGAGCAGCCGGGCGCAGCGGCGCCTGGGCGGCGGCCGCGCTGAGATGAAATCCCAAACCACCATGTCGCCATCACCGCCATCACCATTGCTGCAGCTATTCCCAACCGCCTCCGTTGCCGCCGTTGTCAGGTGTTGCCAGCAGCCGCGCCGCGGGATGGCAGAAGCTCCAGAGTGGCCTCCAGCGCCCCTCTCCGCACGTGTGCAGGTGCTCTGCGGCCGCCGGGTCCGACGTCCAGGCAGAACATGATATTTCCATGCTGCATCGACGGTGGGCTGGTCTTGTTTGGGCGTTCCTCCACTGTGACGTCGGTCACGCCTGCCCCGGCCAGGGCGCAGAGGCCGACGTCTCACCATCCGGTTGCGGTCCTCAGTCGGGTCGCAACGTGTACCTCTACCGCAGCGTGGAGCGCGCTCCCGCTGGGCAGCGATACAGCCAAACCAAACGTAACATGCGGGCGGCCAGCGCTGCGCCGGACACACGGTTCATCGGAAGGTCATCTCAGGCTCAAAATAAACGGTATATACCATTCAAAAGCTGACGGTGAGCTGAATCCAAAAACGTAATTTTCAAAATCGATCGATGGCCTTTTTTGAAAATTGCGTTTTTGTAAAAAAAAAAAACTTTATAATTTTTTATTTAACCGGCTGTCCCGGGCATTCTTGAAAACATAAACATGTTTTTTTCGAGTTCCAGTGAAAGCTGAACGCCAAAAGAACGATATTTAGCGAAGCAATAATTCCTAACATTAATATGCGTCTCCCACAGCCAACAATAAGGCGCAATCACAAAGCTCAGTGTCACGATGGACCAAAGTCAGCCACACAGAAGCGCGAAATGATCCTTATCGACGCGCAGACCCGGCGCTCTCGGCCCGCCTGACCAGCCACGGAAAGAACGTTCGGCTCTCGTTCTACTAAATAAATGTCATATTTATGAGTTTAATTGTCCACATCGCTATTAAAGTTAGTCAGGATACCTGTAAAGAAAATTCATTGTTCTGCTTGATTTACAGCATACTTTAATTTACATTTTTCTTATACATGTTTTGTTCCATCCAGCTGCGCTCAGTGCCCGCGCAGGGGAAGTGAGCGGGGTATCACTGTCAGAGGCTGTACTTGTGACAGCTGCTCGGCCGTGCGACCGGTCAAAGGTTACCCTGCCCCACCGGGCGCTACCCCCACTCCACCCGAGCTGAGGGCGGTGCAACCTCTGACATTTCAGCGCGGCCAATTTTCCTTATATGGGCATGATACCAGGTTCGATTGAGCAAAGTAGACATGAACAAATGCAAATTAATGCATGATGTGAAGATGACAGAGCAATGAATCTTCTGCTCATGTATCCTGAATAACTCAAGTACCGACTTTAAACGTTAAACTAACAAATATGATGCCCGTTTAGTAGAACGACAGCCGAACCTCCTTACCGTGGCCGGTCAGGCGGGCTGAGAGCGCCGAGTCTGCGAGTCGATAAGTGCCATTTCACGCTTCTGTGTGGCCGACTTTGGT